ATCAAAAATTAAATATTAAATCTGCACAAAAATTAGGCAAGAAAGTGCAAAATTTTCTAAAAATAATCTTTCTAAAAATATGAGATTTGTTCTCAAAGAAATAGGAAAAATTAATTCCAAGTCAAAATAGGAAATCACAAAATATCTATATTTTTAATCCTAAATCTCAATTTTTATGCAAAATCCAAAAATCAATCAATTAATCAATTATGCATAAAAATCCAATTAAGCTCAAAATTATCATTTAAATTCTGAATTAATGTGGGATAAAATATATAAAAATTGGGCTTTATCAGGATTAAAACCTAAAATTTGAAATTCGAAGAACTAAAACCAAAATGAAAACAAATCTGAGATATTAGAGATTGTATTAACCTTCTTAATTAATACATTTTTACAATTTATTAATCACGAATTGTTTATTGATTTGTAAATAAAAAATTAAGATAATGACAAACTCTTAGAAAACCGCCGTCCATTTTATCTTTGCCCATAAGCTCCAAACTCAGAGTCGGCATAAATGATTTTTTTTTCAATAGAAAAATTATGGGGCTGTTTGTTTTTTTTTCTTTGTTTTTTCTGTTCTCAAAACAATATTATAAAATTATTTCTTAGAACAAGTTTTGGAAAAAAAACAAAAGAATTTTTTTGGATAATAGTCTCAAAAAATCACGTTTAAAAAAATAATAGAAAATCACACTTGGTAGGTAATAATTGTTACTGGTAACGATAAATAATAGATAATAGGTGAGAAGAGAAGAAGGTTTCTCAAAATTTTTCAAAAAAAAAAACATAAAAACAGAAAAAATTAGAAAATATGTAAAAGTTGTTTTGGTACTTTTAGTTTTTAAAAACATGTTACTGTTTTTTATTTTTTTAAAACAATCAACTAAAAACAAATTACCAAAGAAGTTTTTTCATTTTTCTGTTTTAAAAAATATTTTCAAAACAAAAAACCAAAAAAGCTCTATATTTGTGTGTTTAATGGGAGCCCAAGGAGTAATGGAATCGTGTTGATTTATTTAAAACAGCTGATTTAGTATTGATGAATTAATAATGTTACTATACGGTTACCTGGCACAACCTCTCCATTGTTAAAGCAAACTAACTAAGAAAAAAATCGCATAGTTAAGCTTAATAATATAACAATACATATGATTATATGTAATATAAAATTTATAAAAGTGTCCCTATTTCTAAATTATGAATAATATTTATATGGCCCAATCAAAGAGAAGAAATAGGCAGTTATATGCTTATTGTACTTTCATTTCCAATTAAATTCAAAGTACTACTCCTTCTGTCCTAAATATAAGACCCTTATATACACTAGTATAAGGGTTTTATATTTAAGACCAGAGAAGTATTTTCCGAATATGCAGATATAAGATTTAACTAAGACTTTTTGCATAAAACATGGATTTAAAATTTAATTTTACAGTGAGTTACAAATTAGTTTCACAACAAACATTTATATGATAAACGTATGAGTAAATTAGAAAGAAATGATTTGGGGCCAAAAGACGGGAAAAAAAAACAAAACAAAGAAGTGAACACGCACAAGCTGAGTTGAGTCATCTTACACGTAAATTATTTGACCGCTTCATACAAACGGGCAAACTGATTCTAAACGCTTCCTCTTTTAAAGTCTGATTCTAAACGTAAATTATTCGTGGCTTGGCCCGAAAATAAATAAATAAAATTTTATTATATAACATTTCTAAACTGATACTCTATCATATATGAATAAAATAAATCCAAAGGGAGTTCTCATATGTTATGGCAGCAGATAGGCCCAAATAGTGAAGTGGGCAAAATAAATTGTGAGGAGATAATTCATATCATGAGATCAACCAAAGCAATTGATGCTTCATGTTTTTAATATAAAAGTTAATTAGAGATTGAATTTAATCACAATTATTTATCTTTCAAATTTATAATTTTTTTTTCAAAATATTTATAAGAGATTCACACAAGGAGATAGTTTCTAATGCACATAATAGAACAGAGTAATACTCATGCGGTCTTTAATATAAAACCTATTTAACTAATTTGATTAGATTAAGGAAGTTAGGTAAGTTAGTTAATTATAAGAAAAGTGACACATTTTTCCTAAAATACCATAGTCATCTTTCTTAATATCCCCTCTCTCTTATATTTAATTATGGTTAAAGGAGTATCCATATGGGTAATTTAGAAAAAATTGATAAATATAAAAGAATGGGTCTTATATTTAGGACCAAAACTAACTCAAAGATTGGGTCCTATATTAAGGACCGGAGGAGTATAAGAAAACTGACATGTCTATGTTATAAATGATTAACTTAAATAATTTTTTAAAATAATTTTTAAATTAGTTATTCAAATTCTATATTGAAGATCAAAGTGAATTATTTTTCTCTCGTGGATCATAGGGATTCTCCTCCACACATAACCTAACCTAGCTGAGATGCTCCGCCTTTGCTCCACATACGCACGTGCATGTTTGTACTTCCCGCCATGAATCAATGAAAAAACGTGGGTGCAAGCAAAAGAACGTCAATCAGGGTGGTGGTGCACATATTAGTTAATTATATATGATTAATTAATACTAATTGCTCCCACGTCTTCTTTTGGTTTTTTTTATTATAAAATATCAGGGTATCCACCGGAGGATCCGGTGACTAATTCCTTCGCTGGCTTGTAGGCACCTCAATGGGTGAGAAGCTGGTTCGGGATTTTAAAATTTTTCCATGCCTAAGGCAAAGATCGAACTTTCGACACTTAGTTAAAAGAGGATGAGCCCTACCACTCAACCATACCCCCAGGCTGTCTTCTTTTGGTTTTTAAATTGAGCTGCAATTAATTAATTGTAACCACCTACTACTACTGCTTGACACTTCCCTCAAACATTGAGTTCATGCCTTCCCAATTAAACCACCACCACATTCACTGTATTTTAAGTTTATTGACGAGAAATAAAGGACTATTTTCATTCCACTAATTCCACGTATATGTCTAAGTTTTTTTTTCCTTTTCTTTATACGTGACATAAAATAATTCCCCAAGATTTGTTCTGCCCTGCTAATAAGTCAGTGATCATATATAAACATATATATATTTGTAAGTTTTAGGAATGAGCAAATGTGTTATTTTATTATATTATTCTTTTTTTCATTTTAATTTTTATACTCTCGTACCAAACAAAATAACTCTTCTCCGCTTCTGTTATTCTTTTTTAATGCCGATATATGTTTGAATATATTTTAAAATGCTGGGATGGAAATCTCTCTCCTTAATTCTCTTTCCTTAAATTTTATTAATTAATTTTTTTAAAAAAAAATCCCTTCGAGAATAAACCTGACCAAAGGAATAAGCTGGTCTTAGTTCGGCCCCAACCTGCCCACAATGCACTCATCATCTTCGCAAACAACACATCTGTTTGAGTTGTAACATGGTACTAGTATACTTTTCTAGAATTAGTTTATTTCGATGACCCAATTCAGAAAACTTGCTAACATCTATTTGGAAAAATTGCAATTATGTCCCACTCAAGGGACTTAAATACAATTTTTTTTTTAAATCATAAAATTATTCTGAAGTCCCAAAAGACTTTATTGTAATAAATTTTATTTGTTTGATTATCAAATTATCCTTCTTCTTCTTTTGTTTTTTTAAGTTTGCATTGACAACTAAAAAAACAGTGGCTGACAACTTAAGATGCAAGGATTAACAACTATCACGGTATGTATTGACAACTCATACATTATATTTTGTGATATGCTGAAAAAATGTGTTATCAATATATGCCGTGATAGTTGTTAATCCTTACACCTTAAGTTGTCAACCACTACTCTTTTAGTTGTCAATACAAACTTTAAAAAAATAATAAAGATAATTTGGTAATTAAATAAATAAAATTTATTACAAAAAATGTCTTGAAACTTCAGAATAATTTTATGATTTCAAAGAACCTGATTGTATTTAATTCTCTTGTGTGAGATCCAATTGTAATTTTTCCTATCTATTTTATTGATTCCTCACACGAGCTGCATGTTCCAGATTTTCCTGATGCCTAAGATACTAGTATGATCGGGGAACACATTGCAGTAATAAAGGTGGCCAACCTGCTGGTCAAAAGAAAAGCAAAACGTGGCCAACCCAATTTGTACGTTAATTGGATTTGGTGAAAGTAAATTTTTGGGCTTCCAAACATACAGACTTGGATCCAAGGTTGCACTGAAAACAATGAAGCTAGTGTGTGCTTATAAGATATTTAATGATCTTTTTCAATTCAACTTTTATTTAATTCTTATTGAGAGAGAGAAGAGAGTCGTGGGAATGATTTTTAATGCAAGAAACTTTAGTAAGAATAATTTTATAATTTTTTATCAGTTTACCGCATATATGTGAAGACAAGTTGACTTGCAATAACTTATGGACAGCTGAAAATAATAATTGGTTTTTGCTGTTTTTACAAATGATATTGATAACTCTATTTTCTAAGCTTTAAAAGATGAAGACGCCCAATAATCTGAATCAATATAGGGTTTCAATTTTTTCCAGTTATACCATCCATATATATTTAAGTTCTTAGTAACTTTGTTCTGCTTATGATTTAACATTAATGATAATTATTTTGTTAATTCCCTGATACTAAATATAAAACATATTTTATATTGTAAATTATACTACAAAATAGATCATACATTTAGCATAGGAGAAATATCGCTTAATCAGTAGGAATCTTTGTCTATAATTGGAGCCGATGGCTCTATTGCTGCTACACTACTATTGAGCGCAAGTTCAACAAAGGCTCTTTTCTCCAAACCTACTATAGATGATATTTCTGTTTGCATAATTTGCCACTCCAAATCCGTCCAGAGCTAAGAAAACTCGAGCACAAATAAATTCTTAGATTGTGTGAGCCCAGTAAAATTAACAGGTATAGATGCTTTTTAGTGTTTTTTCCCGCAAGAAAACCATCCTCATCCATAGCAGATATTTCTGGTCGTTTGTGAGGAGTGAAAGTGTGAAACCTCTCCGGCTCCGTTTTGCTTTTGAATGATACCATATCCATCTTCTTCCAAGTGGTGTTAACCATCTGTAGGCGACGCCATTCAAATTCACATATTAATGGCTTCCCTGGCCTACGTTCCTCCCCCTGGAAGCTATGCACCGTCTTCCCACAGAAAATCTGGCATCCCACCCAAATCTCCTTTCTTCCTCGCCCTCGCAACCCCATCTTCGTCTTCTTCGACCACCAACACCAACAAGCTTAGTCGCCGTCGAAATGGCTCTGACACTCGTTCACCTTACAAGGTCCCGCCTCTTCGGAGCAATGAGCACAATTTGAACGGTGACCAAAGGAAACAGCAAAATGACAACGTCATATCGGCCGGAAGCCCATTAAATGTCGACCTGATGCGGTTGTGCGAAGAGGGTAAGCTCGATCAAGTGTTAGATTTTATGGGTCAAGGTGCTGCTGCTGCTGATTATGCTGTTTTTCTTGCGCTGTTGAATTTATGTGAGAATACCAAGGCGCTTGAGTCAGGAAAAAGAGTTCACGAGTTCCTCAGACGCTCGCCGTTTCGCGGGGACATGGAGCTGAATAACAGATTGATGAGAATGTACGGAAGATGTGGCAGTGTGAACGATGCCCGCAGGGTGTTCGATAAAATGCGGGACAGAGACATCAGCTCGTGGCATTTGTTGATTGATGGATACACAGTGAATGGTCTTGGAGATGATGGTTTATTGTGTTTTAAGAAGATGAAGAGGGGAGGAATAAGGCCTAATGGGGAGTCTTTTGCATTGGTTTTGGCTGCATGTGCTCGAGCTGAAGCTGTGGAAGAAGGGCTCATGCAGTTCGAATCTATGAAGAATGAGTATGGAATTGTTCCTAGCATGGAACATTACTTAGGGGTTATTAACATTCTGGGCAATGCTGGTCATTTGAATGAAGCCAAGGAGTTCATTGAGAAAATGCCATTCGAGCCCACAGCGGAAGTTTGGGAGGCTCTTCGAAACCTTGCAAGGAATCATGGAGATCTAGATCTTGAAGATCATGCAGAAAAGTTGTTGTTAGATCTTGATCCTTCAAAAGCAAAAGCCATTTCTAATAAACTTCCCTTGTCTTCAAGAAAGAGACAGTCTGAAGTCAACATGCTTGAGGTGAAGAATAAAGTCTCTGAATATCGGCATAACATAACTTACAGAGAGGAGGCAAGTGAGAAATTGAAAGGCTTGAGTGGGCAAATAAGGGTAGCAGGTTATGTTCCAGATACAAGATATGTTCTCCATGACATCGATGAGGAAGCCAAAGAGAAGGCTTTGCAATACCACAGTGAACGTTTGGCAATTGCTTATGGTCTCATCAGTACACCCCCAAGGACTACCCTTAGGATTATCAAGAATCTCCGTATCTGTGGTGATTGCCACAATGCCATAAAAATCATGTCAAAGATTGTTGGAAGAGAGCTCATTGTAAGGGATAACAAGCGATTCCATCATTTCAAAGATGGGGAGTGCTCCTGCGGGGATTATTGGTAGCGATTGCATTAAAGCAAAGCATGGTCGTAGATACTCAGTCCTCATCTGTAGTGCTTTCTTGTCTATTGTGCTGCCAAATCCAGTACATAAATCGATCCTTCAATGACCCGAGGTTTATTTATGTTGTACATTATTCGTTGGATTTGGGGTCACGGAAAGTTTTTGGATAAGGTACCAGCTGTTTGTCACATTTTCCATCTAATAACAATATTTTGGTGTGCAGCATGATATTTATTGGCACCCGGTTGGAGTCATAAAGAGTTCTCGCAAATGTACTTTTCTTTATATACAGATTTGTCACCCTTTGACATGGCTTAGGATTATGTCAGTAGAATGCGAAAATTCTTGCCAATTTTCGTGTAACACGTGACAGAATGTATGCTAGTTATTTTTCCTTCACATGAATGCCCTCCAGACCCAAGCGTAATGGTAAATCACTAAGTCGTATGTTGGGAATAGGAATAGCCAAGAATATATAAGGACGATAACAGCAAACAGGGGGCTGCGTGCGAAGAGTCAAATGTAGTAAAAGGATATTGTCAGCTTAATTTATAATCCTTTCATTATTCTTGCACATGGCAAGTCTAATTTATCTTAACACTGTTATGTACATGATACATCTCCAATCTTCCCAAGAAACATAGTTTCTTTCTCAGGAAATGATGAAATCAATGACGCTTGCCCTGCCAACCGATCGTTATCTTGGAGGGCGTATAAAAATACATGTAAGCCCTACTTGGAGATGGTACATAATCTCCACCTCGCACTTTAATACTTGAAAGAATGCAATGTACAGCTAAGATTATGTTGAAATAGAATCAGACTAAGAAGCCATTCTAACGCTTCAGAAGAGTTCGAAAGGGATTTTTTTTATTATCATCATTACTACTACTGATGGGATGGTTGACTGATTCTTTTGTTGGTTAACACTTCAAGTGTGGCTTCATCTCTTGATGGAACTCTGAGGCATGACTTCATAATATCATAAACTGTAAATCCAATGGCAACAGATGGGACAACCTGAATCATAGAAGGCAAGCTATAATTAAGCAGTAAGATTCTGGGAAGTTAGTTTCTCGAATAAAAGGTTTCAGCTTTTCCACCTTTATGTAGTTGATGCTCAGACCTGAAAATAGTTGCTTCCAACCTTGGTTTTCGGCAATCATGAAAAGGGTTTTCAGAGTGCCCTTCAATTGTACATTATCAGATGCCCGAAGTTTTTGAACCTAGCCAGGTATGGATTTCACTCTGTATCATGCTATGTGATATCTATAAACCATTATCTGAAGAATGAAAACATAAATGAAATGAAATACCTGCATTTGCCTCCGAACAACTTCGAGGGGATATGTGAAGGTCTGTCCCAATAAACCTGCTACGGATCCGCACGTGAGTTTGGCCACAACGCTTTCTTTGTGCTTCTCAGGGACGTGGCGTTTCATTTCCTCATAGAAGTAGAATTTTAAACCCGCATATGGGAATATCCCAACCAATGATGGAGCTGTTGGCATGAATTGAATGCAAAAATTTCCGCAATGTGAACCCAACATTTAAACACAATCATACTGGTACTAGTAGCATGAGCAGATTTTATAGGCATACCTACTCCCCGGTAGAGACCTCTAATGCCGCCTGCTTTGTAAGTTTTTGCAAAACAGTCTAGGATCCCTCTGTAAACTTGTTCATTATTAACCATCCCTGAAGCATTGACCTTTGTTGTGCTTACAACCTGCAGTGTCAGATACAGCTTGGTTCACACTTCTATGAGGGAAAAAATGGTGTCAAATTTCAAATCAGACCCACATGATTGACTCTTTCAAAGGCAATAGGCATTAAACAATTTCCCTTCATTATACTATTCTTGAAAAACTTGACAGTAGCACTGAAAGACACAAGGTACATAACCTGATAGGCTAATTTAGTCCGAATTAAGTCAAGGGGATAAGTAAAGAGTACAGCTGTGCCTCCAGATAATGAACCTGCTACAAGGTCAAGGGTAGGGCCTTTCCAGACATCAGGAAAAGAGTGCACTATCCATCTGCGGTATTGCTCATAGGACATGTAATGAAGGGCTGCGTAGGGAATAATCCTTGCAATACTTGCTCCGTTTCCTCTGTACATAAATTTGGCCCGAGATGTTTAGTCATAGAAAAATGAAGGCAGCACTGACATTAATGGATTCAGGATACATCATTCATTCACCTGTAGAATCCCAAAAAGCCTTCTGTTGTAGCAATCCTTTTCGCTGATCCATAAAGCCCTGTGCTCTGAAATTCAGCTCCTCGTGTCTGCAAGGAATCATAATAATGCAAATTACAAGAGGGAGCGAGTGATTTTTAAGACCATTGATGGAAATGGATTATCAAACAAGTATAGGATGGTTCTCAAACTTCTTTCTATAACCAACCCAAGCATATACTAGAGCAAATCGTATACTTAACTGCATATGATCAAAGGAGAAAACAACAACTAATTATCGATTACTCCCTCGAGTCCCTATTAAAGGGTACCTCTAGTAGACCCAGAATTACCGTCTGTTGCTAAAATAAGTAAATAAAGGTCCGGAATTCATTGAGCTAACTTTGTCATGGCTACAGTTGCCACCTTACTTGAATTTGATTGTTTTAAACGTTCTAACTACTGCTGACATATTATTGAGAAATTCAGCAATGGAGTGGCTAGTTAACATCAGTAACAGTTGTCACAGTTTGTGGAGTTCGTGCGAAAATTGCATAGGGCAAAATTTTTCTAAACCCAAAATCTTGGAATAAAAATATGAAACCTCAACCAGGGAAAAGCTTGTACCGGGAAAAAAAAAAAAAACCCGCGAAAAGTTTCGAGGTATAGTGATGTAAATGGTCAATAGAACGTTAATATCGTCGCCATTGCCCCATAGGAAAAGAAAAGAAAGTGATGGCGAAAGTAAAAAAGAAAAAATAATTCATCGACCTACCAAAGTCACTTGTTTGGCATAAACGTGTTCAACAGCAGTATCTACCAGTCAGATAGCAGAAACTGTGTTCAATTTTGATTTAAAAAGGATATCTGTATCTTCTTTCTTCCAGGAGTGAATGCGGGTATTAATGAACGGGAAAACTGCACAGGCTAAACAGAGAATCATACAATTCAAACCAATGCTTGGCAATGCAGCATCCTTGTCTTAAAGAAAACAAGCCATCGCCGCGCCGTTCATTTGTTATTCCGATCAGGAACACCTCAAAGTTCTTTGGAGTTAAATTCTCTCTTCAAAGTAATCCGAAGAAGGCATTCCTCATATGTACCTGGTAATCTTACCGAGTAATAATATGCCTCTAGACAAATCATTGGCATTTAATTTGCAGGAAAAGTTTGACATATTCCATTTTCTGCAAAACCCACTTCCCCAACTCAATATTTCAAGTATCTTTAAATCCAACACATCCTCAGTGATGATTAATAACTCTAGCAGGGCCCATTAATAAAGAAAACAGGCAATAACCAGACAAGCCAAGAAACTGCAATTGATGGACGATACGGACCTGAATTTTGTCCAGAACACACTAGCTGAGAAATAAAAAAAATGGGAAGTGGGAACCTGAATAAAATACCTGAAAGAGAATTTTGACCCGATCGAGGGGCGCAACGATGGTCTTGGCAACGCCACCAGCAACACCTCCGGCGACAAGCTCCTTGGCGAAGAGGGGCATAGCCTCCAATACCCCATCAAATAACATCAGCTTCTCTCCGTCTTCGCTCTTGTTTCCCATTCAACACAAGGGAGAAAAGGAGACAAGAGTTGGAACAGAGACGGACAAAAGAAAGAGGAAAAGAAAACCAACAAGAGGAACTGATGCGGGTCCGTGAGATGGAAGGTTCTTTACGTGAGGTTTTTTTCTTTTTCTTGTTGGGAAGCTTCAAATGAGTCAGAGAAAGTCTGCGCAGTCTAATTCCATTTTGGATGGATGGGGTAAAATAAGAAGCATCGGCTCAGTAATTCGTTGCTCCTGCTTCTTATGATTTCGCAGACTGCTTAGTTCAATTGCATAAGGACGGAGAGAATCTTAGAGGGGGGAGAGAGGGAGTCTCTTATTCTTATCCAATCAGCGTTTTTGACAGAATGCAAATTACTCGCTTTTTTGGGGAAAAAAAATTGGAAACAAGATCTTATTCATAGATATCATCAGTCGTCTGGGAAAGTTTCACCAATTTATCAATTTTATTTTTGCCAACCAATTTATGGATTTTAAAATTATAATGTTAATGATTGTTTCCATTTATCAATATATACTCATCAGTCATGTTCATATATTAATCATTCTGGCCAATAAAAATTAACATATTAATATCAAGATCAATATATATGATGACAAAAAAAATTGACATATTAATATCAATATTAATATATATAAAAAAATTTATCATAATTTTTTTCAACTTGTAACAATTTATACTATTTACGTGTAAATTTAATAACTTATAAATTTTGATTAACATGGCTAACGGCCTAAATTAATAGACGTTGGGTCAAGCGACTAGGCTAGCTCCACCCCAGAAATGGGCGTACTCGAACGGGCCAATCATGTTGACGCTCTCTGGCCCACTCATGTCTAACCGTACTCATTGAGAAGTTATTATTTGATAAGGACTCAGAAATTTGGCAACCCCAAGCATTGAGTACGACTGCAATGTCAATAACCTCTCGAAGTTATAAAAAGAAGGAATGAAATGAAGTACGATTAATCGATCCGAAAAATAAAAAGAGAGAATTGCAATATGGTTCACATAATTATTATAAAGCCTCCATGATAACTGAGTAATTTGTAATAACAAATTTCAGAATAAAAAATAACAACTCTTTATTTGTTAGTAAGACCTTTTGGTAGTTATTTCTTTTTCATAAGATTTTGTTACAATTCTCCCACATAAAATTTTGTATTAATACGAGTAATAAATATTACCTCCGGTCCTTAATATAAGACCTTGTTTGATTTTTATTTTGATTCTAAATAAAAAACCCCAATATATTTTGTTTATCATATTTATCTATTTTTTCCAAGATAGTCTTTGTAACAATAATAGTTCTAGCTAATATATTTAATTAGTAAGGATATTTTAGAAAAAAAAAACACCCATTTATTACAAATAACTAACTTAACTAATTTCATTAATCTATTCAAATTAGTCAACTAGCTTTTATATTAAGCACCCGGAGGAAGTAGTACAAGAAAACCGTCTTCAAGTAAATAGCAAAGGCGCCAATGGATGGCTGTGCAGCACCTCACTTTCAAATTTCATGCATCATACATGCCAAGCATTCATGTCCTTCGCATCTGCATTTTTCTACAAAGTGATTAGCCTGGGAAGAAATTAAAGAAAAATGCTGGCCTAGGAAGGCCTCGTGGAAGTAGGTATCCCTTGCGTCGGCCCCTCATGCAGAGGTCTATTCCAATCATAAAACAATGACTGCCCAACGAAATGCTTGAATTCATTTTCATTGTATTGCTACAGAACAAGCCACCCCCAAGAATAGCAATGCATGCACTTTTCCAATCCAGAAGTGACTAGTATATCCTGTTAGAAGCGTAAACAGCCTTCAACTAACAAGAATGAATCTTTAAAGTTGCTGGAGGGGAACATGAAGAGTCGGAGAGAATGCATCTTCACTTAGGAACTGAGCATTCTCAACGCACTCAGATGAGTGCACCGAACAAGAATGGCTGACAGCATCGTCTACTGCTAATTTCTTGATAAGGTTCAATAGGATGCCCTCTAACTCCTCCCCACTGCTCCACTCATGAACTTGTGCGTTAACTTGTTCTCTATTACTGAAAATCCGATTCCAGAGAGGATAGTTCTTCCTTGGCATCACAAAATCACCTCCCTCCAGTCTCAATGTTGGGCAATAATCGCCTCCTCCGTCTCCAACGTAGATCAATCTCCTCTTTTCTCAGGTAAAGAACCTCGGATTTTGTCAATCACTAAACCCTGCGATAAAAATCACACAACAGCCAATTCTATATGGGACAAGTTATCCAAGAAAGTTAGGTTGGGAAGATGGCGATGGATTTAGCCAGATAGCAGTGAAAGCAGAAATCAGTCTTTGGCTTTAATAATTTTGTAAGGATGCAGCAACTTAGACAAATTTTATCAGTCACCAACCAAATGCTAAGCCAATGGCTGCATATCAGGTCAACAACACCCACTTTCAAGTATCAGCTAGTCACTGCTGTTTCCCTCACTGAACGAGGAAAACAGGAAGATTTGATATCCCAAGATAATTTTGACAGCAGGTGTGGCTTACTAGTTTTGCACAGATAATTTCTCTTTAAAAATGAATGAAAGAAGAAAAATTTTACAACAGCCACACAATTTGATCAAGCAAATAGCCCCTCTACAGTACCGGGCCTTCTGCTACATGGAAAGGATAATCGTGCTCACTAAAATGTACGAATCAATCTGGTTCCTCCATATAGAAATCGTGACAACTGACATCTTCGAGATGTAAAAGTAGGAAATTGATTACTTCAAATGTTGGATAACCTTTTTATTGATTACTGATTGTATTTTGAAGAGACAATGTGAACTAGAAAGTAATTCGAATGAAAAATTAGTCAACTCTACACCCATCACAAACTTTTGGTTCTTATGGAACAATAAACCATTCGATAGAAACAGTTAAATGCCGCAAAAGAGCATCGTTCTTCTCAGAGTTAGAAGTTTATGTACGTTACAACAAGGCAGAATGATGAAGAACAATGATGTTTAAGCAATACCTTGCACATATTTGAAGGGCAGAGATGGCAATTATGCGGGGCCATGCTTGAATTATGGAATGGACTGATATGAAGACGTCCCTCTTCATCCACATAAGTTGGGTTTGTATTGACTTGGGAAAAGCACCCTAATATACCATGATGTTCCAATATCGTCTCAATGAAAAACATATTTGCATCGCTAATTATCCACAAATCACATCTGAAAGAAACAAATTCGCAACATAGTAGTTAAGTCAATTACCACAATGGTTAAAAATGAAGGCGAAATCAGGGACCAATGATTATGATGAAGAAACTAACCCAAAAGCATGGGCTGCTTTTATAGCTGCAATAATGCTTGGATGCAATAAGACCTTTTTCAGGCACTCTGCAATGTCCTTCGTGCTAATCCCTCGTGCGTGGAGCTCTTTCATCATCGTATCCTATCAGATTAGACGTTTTAAACGGTCAAAGAAGCAATTGAATAAATTTAAAGATGACGATTCAGAACCCAAATACATAACAAGACTTTGAATCTACTTAATTCAGGTTAATAAACAATTAATTACAGGAACAATCTCAACTTGAAAACTAAAACGCCGGACGTTTTTCATGGGCTACAAAAAGGAATCCCCATCTGACCTTCAATTACTTCCCACATTTTGCAGTAAAGAAGGACTAAAATTATAAGCATATTTCTTAATCCAACGTGAAACTTTTATACTTATTCAAACAACGAATTGAAATTAAAAGCGTGAGCACAAACCATGAGAGAGGTCCAAGGCAGGGTCGAGCGAAGCTCATTGAAAATCTGCGTGAGACCCATTTCTGTCACGACCCATCTGTCACTGTCATTGTCGATTATCGTCCGATCAAAGTCAAAAACCACGACGACGTTCCCCGCCATTCTAACGCCGGAGGTGGTTCTCCTCCGACTCCCTAATGCGATTCCCCAGCAAACAGTTATGAAGAAATTTTTGCGTATTTGTGACTAGCATTTCTAGAAGCAACCCACCCAGCAAGATTCCAGGGAATTCCGCGCGCCGCCGGGTTAAAAACAAATAAGTTAAAAAGATTTTTTTGCCAGAATTATTCAGAAATTATATATAGGTAACTTGTTGAAATTTCCGGTTTAAAAAAAGGAAAAAAAAAAAAAGAAGCTTAAATATGAGGAATGATGTACGCTTGTGTGCGTGTTTGCTTATATGTGAGAAGTGATAACTGTGATGTCATGTATTTTGAAAAATAGGTTATGTAATAATGCTAGCGACTTATTAAAATGTTTATTACACATCGATATAAATAATATTACAAACAGCTCCGACTACTTATTGAAATGTTATTATACATCGATAAAAACAATATTACAAACAGCTCCTACACCATTGCAAGGAATTATGATTATTGTGATGTCATGTGCTTTAAAAAAAAATTAATTTTGTAATTTCTTACGAGCTAAGGAATTATATTTAATAGAGTCCAAAACATCACATATATACGTCTTTATCAATTGTCACAATATATAATATTTTTCTAGTCTTTAATATAGGACCCAATTATTAAATTAGTTTTGGTTCTAAATATAAGACCCATTTCTCATATTTATCAATTTTTTCTAAATTACCCATATGGATACTCCCTCAATCATAATCAAATAGAAGAGGAAGAAGGGGTACTGATAAAGATGATTATAGTATTTTAGGAAAAATGTATCACATTTTTTATAATTAACAAACTTACCTGATTTTTTTAATCTAATCAAATTAGTTAAATGGATCTTATATTAAGAATCAGAAGAGTACACAATAAAATTTATTAGAAAATGGCAATATTCATGAATAAGTCAAATAATATTACCTTGAGACAAAGAACTGATATGAGCAATTTTTAATAAAAAGTTGCATATTATAATTTATTAGAAAATTTGATGATAAATATTTAACAATTTCATTGAATTGATGCATGCAGGGGAAATGAGTGAGCAGAGGTTTAGGGTTTAGGATTTTTCTTAGGATTTAGGTTTTTATGGTTTAGGAGCGAAATGAAATGGAAATCTCTAGAATAAGAGAGTTATATGAGTGAAGTGGATAGATTTATCTGTATGTATTGAGGGTTTGCTTTTGCTTTTATAGAGATTTGATCCTATCTGAGTTTAGTCTTGTTTGAGCAATTAGTCAGAAGGTCCTCCCTATCCCCATGAATTATATTAACAATCAAATCTCTATAAATAAGCCTACTTAGTACCGCTAATAATATTCTTCAAAGGATAAGAGACATCGCAACTCCTTGTAAGTAGATT